ATCTATACTACAGCTGTGCATCCATATATGAGGAGTTTCAAAAAATATCTTGCCCTGTGGAAAAGTTCTAATGGTTTGGGCTTTGTTTTTTTTGTTTTAAATATAATTCCATATTGTGAAATAAATAGATCATATTTGTTTACGAAGAACCCAATACAGACAGGTAATGGTAGAGAACATTAATAGATGTCCTGTATGGGGAACAGTTGGGTTCAGCAAGTAGGGCATGATGTGTCTTTTCCCTTACCCTGATGGTTAGGGCATTTACGAGCAGGACTTTAAACAGCCATCAACAATTAGGGAATTGTTCTTGGAGCAGGGACCAGTCTCTGATCTCTCGCTTATGTATCTTTAAGTGATCGATATAGGGAAGCTATGAATTAAGGAATTATTTTCCCCAGATAACTTGAGACATCTGGTGCTCTGTAGTCTTACTGTCAGGAAAGGAATATTGGATGAAATGCTGTTTACTCTCTAAGTGTTAATTTGCTCTTGTTATCATTCCATCTGTAAGCTATTCATATTTTACGTAAAGTACATGGTGTGTGTAGGAATTAACATGCCTAGAATTACTTATCAGAAAGTTAGTATTGATGTAATTGCCTGCTCCTAAAATAGCTAAAGTATGGACGATGGAGGGGTGGGCTACTTGTAAGTCACTTTGTACAATACTGTAATGCTCATCCTGCATTAACTTCCTCCAGTGGGACAGACAATGGCTTATCTTCGTTCAGCAAGATCTTCCTGTCGTGGGGTTGTCTTTTTCCCAAAAAAAAAGTAGTTTTGTCATCTAAATATTTTATGTAAAGTAAACTTGCATTGTATGGCGGCAGTATATAAAATGGCTTGATACTAAGGCCAAAAGGGAACAGCCTTAATATTCTTCCCTGACCCGCCCCGTTTTGAAGCAATAGTGGGACTGAGACCATAATGAGAACTATGCAAGTCAGTTGCTCTGGCAAACAGTAGTATCCTGACCCTCAAACTTCTGTGTGGCTATCTGGTACATTCTTGAAACCAAAATAACTTACTGCCTGAGGGCTCATTCCTGTAACGTTAACAAGGCATCTGAGGTCTGCAGTTCTCAAGGAGCAATTTCTTAGCATCTAGATGCGCCTCCAGTGGGATCATAGAGAGGTTATAATAATTCCCCCCTAGGAATTGTGGTGCCCTTTGAATCCTAGGGGGCTGGCACTTGGGCTGAATTGTGTGACCTGTGGAGTGATGCTCAGTGAGTCCTACCAGTAAGGCTTACATGAGCTGCACATGTCCAAAGCAAAATGGCTCTACCGGGGCCCCTTCAGCCTTCTAGATGTTACCTGGGGATGTTAATTAGTTGCTGAAGACAGATGTTTTTATCAGAAGAGCTGATAGTTTAGTTGTCATGAAAAATTGACTTTATGTATAGGACAAGGAAAACCGTAGTCAGCTGTTCCCACGGCACAGTACTTCTCACAGGAGCAGGCGAGTGCCAGTGTGCTGAAAAAAAATTGGTATTTCCAGGCTTGTTGTTTCACACAGGTCAGTTAAATGTAGGTGGGCAAATTCCCCTCCTTGCATGAGTGGCCAAATGCCACTTTATAACCAGGCTTCCTTTCTTAAAATGCTTGCAAATCTGTCTCCGAACTGGAGGTAGGTTTGCACCTTTCAAGATTGAAGATCTTTTTGTCTAGATACGGCTAAAGTGCTGCTGGAAGTAGTCCAGAGCACAGATGCTTAAACCTTTGTTCTTTTCAAACTAGTATTGGAACATTGCCTTTTATATTCCATTGGCGGGTGTCAGCCTGCTTTGCAGGCCAGAGATGCAATGGGGCTCTTTGTCACACATCGAGATTGACTGAGATAGTTTCAGACAAGGTGTCTAAGCTTCAGTTGAATTGGAGAGTAGAGACCAGATTGAAACGTCTTTGGTCTAGGGATTTTGGCCTTGAAATTTTTGATGTTGGGACTTAGTTTCCTCTCATCTGTCTATTCAGAATAGAACAACTGAAAATAGGTTGGTTGAAGAAGACAACAATGTGACCAATATGGAGAGGGAGTGTTGAGAATAATGCTTGTAAGCTTGTGTTAAAGGCCGGCAGTACACATGGCTTAGTGGGTTAGTCCGCAGGCTTACCTTTACGCACAGAACTTTTTATGATATTTAAATTCAGCAG